TTTATCTGTGCCGGTCTTAAGACAGGGCTGGTGCTTTACTTTAGTTTAATATGTTTATTATTCACCACATACCCATCCTGTGGGCGGTAGTCAACAAGATTACAGAGGTACATAATGGGTCCAGGGAGGGGCGCCCCAAAGTTTTGCTAGCTGAACAAGTTACAAAGGCAATGAACCAGTCACACGTCTTAACAAGCAGATATGTTAAGTCTTGTTTCAAAACATTTTTCCTTTCCTTCATCTGACTTAGGCAATTTAACTGTTGATTGATTACGTTAATAACAAATGGAAGCAACATTTCTTGCTAGTGGCAATCGAGTGGGGAGTGCCTTGATAAAAGGCATTGATCCAAGGAATTGGACTCTTATTCCCGGATCAACTCGGAATACTTCACTTTCCCTCCAAACGTTGTATGACCCCTGAGTGCTTACAACTCACAATATGATGGGCCTCAGTCTTTAAGCCCACCTTTCCTTATTTAAAACCCTTTTTGATTTTTAATTTCTGGGGCCTTTTAAAAAACGTAACATAAGTTGCGCCCTTGCAGCCTTTTAGATTATTTTATAGTGTAGTGCAGCGTGTATGCCCCCCCGGGAAATCTAGCACTCAGTTTTTATTTTAATAATTTAAATGTATACCCCTTTTTTATTTCGTTCAAAAAAACAAAGGGTATCGAGTTATTGCCGGGTTTAAAATGTTAGATTCCTTACACACGCTGCTGCGTGTGTAAGGAATCTTAAAGGGAGGGGGAAGCATTAATGCCGGGGGAATTGATCTTGTTAAGAAAAATGGAGGTACCCGCTCCCTCGAATCGAGCCTTTGTTCTCCATTCCCCCAAGCGCTTTATGACCTCTGTGGGCTTAGTGCTTTTTCCCTGAATTATAATCTTGGTCAGGTATCCCGGTTCAGTTTACCCAGAACCTCAGAGTGCCCTGTTGGCCCGGCCCCGATTTGGTCCCAAAAAAAATTTTTAAATTTTAAAATTTTTTTTCCCGTTTCCCCGATGAACATGGGGGCTTCGCAGATGTTCCCTGTGGTGGTGGTGGTTTAATGGCTCGGGGCAGGGAGGACCTACGTACTATCCCTCCAGAAGATGCCCTATCCCTTCCTTACCTGGCGTCCCACCCACCCTCAGCATCATAGTCTTCCTCGTCCGTCTTCCCCTTTTTCCTGTGCTGCTTTCCCCCCAGGAAGAACATGGAGTTCCTTTCAGTGGTGAGTGTTTTCGCCAGTGCTATGTTTTTGTCTCGCCCTTGAATTCTCTAAATCTGTTGTAGTACTGGTTGTATTACCCTTTCGTCAAAAGCCTTTTGACCTTTTATGTCTAAGTGTATTGTAAATCAAAATTCCAACCTTTTAAAAAATGCACGAGTATTTACCCCTTTTAGACATAAGCCTTTACCCTTAACATGTATGATTTATATTTTAAATTATTTTTAGGGAGTCCCCCGGTAACCCCCGTGGGGCTTGGTTAAGACCTTTTAGTTCTATCCATATCTCTTGCTTCTTTTAAAATGGATACGATTTCCACAATAAAGACCCGCTGCGTGGGTAAAAAAAAAAAAAGTATGTACCCCTTCTCTATAACTTTTTCCTCCCGTGTATCAGTAAATAACCCTTCGGGGTTTTTTGCGCTTCCGTAAATATAAAAATGCAATACGTTTTATATTGTACTGGGGAAGGGAAAAGAATCTTTCCTCGTAACCATGGTGTGTATGAGGCGACTAAAATCCCGGGAGCAAGGGGCTAGTAACCCCTTTCCTGTTTACAATTACTAAAAAAAGAGAAGAAAAACTTTAAAAAAACGGGTTTTAAAATGTGCGTGGATGATTTTGCGGATGACAAGAAACAGATGATTGTGATTTTAAATGAAAAGAAGTTGGATGTCCGGGCCCCTAAGCGAAACAAAAGCTGGGGGGGGGTGGGAGTTTCAGGGGGGGGAAAATAAATGGGTTTTAAAATTGGGTATCGAGAGAGTTGGCAAAGGAAGGGGTGGTAATGTTAAATGATCAGTTAGGGAAAAGGAGAAAGAGAATATGAATGGAAAATTTTCAAAAAATTTGTGGTTTTAAAGTAAAGGTTTGGATGCGAGAAGTGGGTCATTTTAAGCGTGTAGCCCCTGGAAAAGGAGGAATGCAGAGGAGAGAGAGAGATTTTGGGAGTGTTAAGTGAATGTATAGGAGCCTTTGAAAAAGTGAGAGAGTAATTGGGGTTGGGGACTTGAATGCTAAAGTGGGGAAAAACTTTTAGAGAGGGTGTGGTAGGTAAGTTTGGGGTCCCGGGTTTGTAAATGATAATGGGGCCCTTTGATTGAACTTTGTATAAAAAGGGGTTTTAGTTTAGGAAAAAACATATTTTAAGAAAAAGAGGAAAAAATAAGTTACACGATATGTTAGGGCGAAAGACAGTTTTTGTTGGATTAGTATTGGTAGTAAAAGATGTTGAGTAAAATTTTGGATGTACATGTTTATAGAGGGGCCACAGATATTCAGTCATTTTTTGTAGTACAGAGATAAAAGGTGATGGGATTCAAGGGAATGAAGCATCAGGGGGAAAAGAGAGGGAAGGTTTATAAACTAAAAGAGGAGGCAGTTGGGTAAGATAAAACGCTTTGGAGGTGAGGGCTAATGAGAGCATAGGGATGGGGCGAAGAGGTATGGGGGAGGTTTAAAAAATGTATGTTAGAGTGTTCAGCAGAAGTTTGGGTTACAGGAAAGGGGTTTCAGGAGGGAAGGGGAGCGATTGGTGGAATGTTTATTTTAAAAAGGTTAAGGGAGAAAAAGTTGATATGAGAAGTTTTTTTCAAGTGAAGTGATGCAAGGAGGGAAGAGTATTGGAGAAAAAAGAGGAAATTAAAAGGGGTGAAGCAATGTAAAAAGAGAGCAAATGAGAGGTGGGTGAGTGTTATCAAAAAAATTTTTTTGAAAATAAGAAAAAAATTTTGGGTGAGATTAACAAGTTAAGAAAGCTAAGAACAAATGGATTTGTCAGTTAAAAATAGGAGGGAGAGTTTTTAAATGGAGGTTAGAGGTATTGGGAAGATGGAAGGATTTTTTTTGAGGAATTGTTAAATGTTGATGAAGATAGGGAAGCTGTGATTTTGTGTATAGGGCAAGGAGGAATAAAATCTTGTAGGGTGGGGAAAAGCCCGTTGGGTGTGGGGGGGAAATTCGTGGGGAGTAGGTAAAATGAAAGGGGGTAAGGCAGCCCGGGATTGATGGGATAAAGTAGAAAAGTTAAAAGCAGGTGGGGATATAGTTTTGGAGTGGTTGGTGCAATTATTTTAAAAAATGTATGGAAAGAGGGTAAAGGGCCCAGGGAAATTTGGGAGAGAGCATGCATAGTTCCTTTGTATAAAAGGGAAAGGGGATTAAAAAAAAGAGTGCAAAAATTTAGGGGTAAGTCTGTTGAGTGTACCTGGTAAAGTGTATGGGGAGGTTAAATTTAAAGAATTTAAAAGGGAGACGGGGAATAGGAAACAGAGAACAAAGGGGGCTTTTGGAAAGGTGGGGGGTGTGGCCAGGTGTTTTTCGTGAAAAATAAGGTGAACAGTATTTAGATAAGGTTTAAAAAGAGGTCTTTGTGGCATTTATGGATTTGGAAAGGCGTTTTGACAGGGTGGATAGGGGGGAAATGTGGCAGATGTTACAAGGGTGTATGGTGTGGGGAGGTAGGTTACTGAAAGCAGTGAAGAGTTTTTACGAGGATAGTGAGGCTCAAGTTAGAGTATGTAGGAAAGAGGGAAATTTTTTCCCAGTAAAAGTGGGGCCTTAGACAAGGATGCGTGATGTCACCGGGGTTTTGTTAATATATTTATAGATGGGGTTGTAAGAGAAGTAATGCGAGGGTCTTGGCAAGAGGCGTGGAGTTAAAAGATAAAGAATCACACACAAAGTGGGAGTTGTCACAGCTGCTCTTTGCTGATGACACTGTGCTCTTGGGAGATTCTGAAGAGAAGTTGCAGAGATTGGTGGATGAATTTGGTAGGGTGTGCAAAAGAAGAAAATTAAAGGGGGAATACAGGAAAGAGTAAGGTTATGAGGATAACAAAAAGATTAGGTGATGAAAGATTGAATATCAGATTGGAGGAGAGAGTATGGAGGAGGTGAACGTATTCAGATATTTGGGGTGGACGTGTCAGCGGATGGGTCTATGAAAAGATGAGGTGAATCATAGAATTGATGAGGGAAAAAGAGTGAGTGGTGCACTTAGGAGTCTGTGGGGGACAAAGAACTTTGTCCTTGGGGCAAAAGAGGGGAATGTATGAGGTATAGTTTTACCAAAACGCTTTTTATATGGGTGTGAAGCGTGGGTGATGAATGTTGCAGCGAGGAGAAGGCTGGAGGCAGTGGAGATGTCATGTTGAGGGCAATGTGTGGTGTGAATATAATGCAGAGAATTCGTAGTTTGGAAGTTAGGAGGAGGTGCGGGATTACCAAAACTGTTGTCCAGAGGGCAGAGGAAGGGTGTTGAGGTGGTTCGGACATGTAGAGAGAATGGAGCGAAACAGAATGACTTCAAGAGTGTATCAGTCTGTAGTGGAAGGGAAAGGGCCCGGGGTAGGGGGTCGGCCTAGGAAGGGTTGGAGGGAGGGGGTAAAGGAGTTTTGTGTGCGAGGGGCTTGGACTTCCAGCAGGCATGCGTGAGCGTGTTTGATAGGAGTGAATGGAGACAAATGGTTTTTAATACTTGACGTGCTGTTGGAGTGTGAGCAAAGTAACATTTATGAAGGGATTCAGGGAAACCGGCAGGCCGGACTTGAGTCCTGGAGATGGGAAGTACAGTGCCTGCACTCTGAAGGAGGGGTGTTAATGTTGCAGTTTAAAAACTGTAGTGTAAAGCACCCTTCTGGCAAGACAGTGATGGAGTGAATGATGGTGAAAGTTTTTCTTTTTCGGGCCACCCTGCCTTGGTGGGAATCGGCCGGTGTGATAATAAAAAAAAAAAACATGTGTATATTGTGAGAATTGACCATTATAAACAACTTCGTGGATACATTTTCTTGTTAACCCTGTGGCGGTTATTCACTGACTGTAGTAGTATAGGCTTGATCCTTCTACTTATTATACTACTACAAACTTAGCAAATATTTTCGCAGATATACTAATGCACTTTATCATTTTGCAGGTATTGCTTTGCTTCCTCAGTGGCTTCATCCTGACGGTGGTGTTTGGGTCGTCATGGTGGTTGGTTGGGAGAACTGAGACTACGATGATTGTGGGTCCCCTGCGGCCACCCATCACTGGCACCCTGGGCATGTTAGCGGGCCTCTCGCACGTCAATCTCACATACATCACGGATAATTTTACTCTGAACGAGAGGGTTACTTGGACCACTCGGCCGGACCTAGTGCAAGCTCACAGGACAGCACTGAGGGAGGGCTGGCCTTGGGGACTGCTGAGCTTAACGGCTGAGTTGGGTGGCGAGGGCATGGCCTGGCGTGGTACTCTAGGTGATGGTCTTAAAGAAGCAGGGTTAATATCTTCCTGTTTACTGCTGGCCGCCATGTATGTGTGGGCGGTGTGGGTGATACTGTTCATCATAGCTCCAGAGATGACTGCCTGTCCACTCATGCTCACAGGGATGCTTATGGCTTTCTCCTCTCTCACGTACGTCATCTGCGTCAGGTCACACATCCCATCCAAGTTGATGGTGGGTGGAAAAGAAATGGAGCTGCATTTTGGATTATCTTGGTGGCTGACGGCGATCATGGGTCTTGTGCTCACGGTTGTTGGCTGTGGTCTCTTTCTTTACGACGCTAAGTACCCTGGCTACCTCTCCATGCACTTCGAGATAGATTTCGGTAGAGAGAGTTCCCGGTCGTTTCCCCAGAATTGGCGCAGAAGTCAACCTTTGCTTGCCTACAGTTGTGAAGAAGAGATCTTCAACCAGACATATCCTCGCTGTCGTGCATATGGCAACCATCAGAACAGTGTTCCCACACATGACAAGTACAAGAACGAAAACATCGAAGGCAAATCTTTCTACCAACACACACAAAATGAGATAACATTACCTCACGAGAGTACCAGTTGCACTGACAGCAGCCAAACTGAGTCCACACCAAAAATCAAATATATTTTGGAAAATGAGACTAGGGTCCTTCCTGAACCTTTGCCAGTCTTGATAAGATCAAGTACCCTTGCCCAGCACCAGGAACACACAACTCTTACATCCAACCCAGACACACTTCGTCGACGGTCTCCTGAGTCTACTGAACAGCATATGCTACCATCACAACCGGCTACGCCTCTCGGAGTGTCTTGCAACCCTGGGACACTTCCACAACCCTCCACTGCCCCGCCCTCCACTTGTCTCGGGTCTTACAACCCCAGCACGTCACATCGCACCCATGGCACGTCCGCATCCCCAAGACCCACTTTCTTGATTCGGTCTTTCAGGAAATCTGCCAAGAAATTAGTATCCAGAGATAACTCCAAACTTTTCCAGAAAGCTTCCACTAGGGTTACTGTAATTCCTAATAAGAAACCCAAACGTTCTCTTTCCAAGATGTTTTATGAACATGATGTGGAAGGTAACTTGCAGATTAACTCTACCAGTGATAACTTACAGCTGAGTACCTTATTCTGAACTTTAAGATTTTTTCATGGTCTTGGTGGTTAATTCTACTCTTTAACTTCATTTTTTTCTAAAGGACAACACAGTTAGAGAAACAAACACGCGCACTCCCTATTAAATTATTTTTGTTATTAAAAAGAAGTTTCTACACTAAGTCCCAAGTGAAAGATGCTTTCCTGTCAACCTGCTCTTTCTTCCTCATCTCAGTGAGCTTTGCAACATTCTTACCTGTGTTCTCGACGCTGCTCCCCTTAATTCGCATCTGAATTCTACATTGTAGAACAAAGTACAGTCTTTTCTCTAACAATCCTTGATCCAAATTCTCCTTTACTGAGAGTTACTGATCCTCAGTCTCCCAACATCAACTTGAATTTCTATGTTTTGGTCTGTCTTTGTTGTACTTCTTCTGGTCCTCATGTGACCTGATTAATTCTCGTGACTCCTTTCACTAGCTTCGCTCTTATAATGTCCCTGACATCTGGTGACTGAAATGGGTTTAAAAAATGAGGACACCGTCATGTCCCTGCATAGATTTTTTCCTCCTTTCCATCACTGATTATATATCTCTTACCATACAGGAAAAACATCATAGCTGGTACAAACTGACACTGATAAACATCGCAATTAATACAAAAATAGAACATAAAATATGGGAAATGGGAAGTATACGCCATGTACCCACTAACCCCTACCTTCGTTCCCACGAACCACTACCTTCATTCTCACGAACCCCCCACACCTTCATTCCCGTCTCTACTAACATGGCTTTCCACTCGTGGTGCTTGTCACCTGGTGAGTCACACACTTCCCACTAAGTCTCATGATCCCATCAAAGGAAGATTAAACTCCGCACTCTTTAATCTCTGGATCTGATATTGTAAAGTTTCTGTATTTCTCTATTTCTCTGGTCTTCCTAAAACTCAAACCTGGCGTTCCTCTAATTTTCATCATTTTCTCACGTCCCTCCCTCTCTCCTCATTCTCTTCCCTTCTGGCTGGCTTAGTGTCTCTTCTTGTCTCTCTCATGCTCTCCTTCGCTCTCAAAGCTTCAACTGACCGTATATGGCCACATCAAACTTGCAAGATGCTAAGACGTCGAGTCTTTATTCGCATTTCTCTTCATCTCGGCTGTCTCAGGGTGATGGAAAACGAAAGGTTATTTCATTTCTATCTCTTTAGTACTGTTTTTCTTATTCTTCGTTTTTGTGTAGATTCATTTTTTTTCCTTCTAAGGTAGCCGCTGTTCTCAAATCCTTGGTATTATGGGCTCTCACTGCCTTTTTCTTGCCGCGTTCTTCGAATTATTGTTCTTACTATCGAGTCGCTGTATAGCCCTTGTGGTTTAGCGCTTTTTTTTTTGAGTTATATCCTCTCTAGCTTCTCTGTGTAGATGTCTTTGCTCTCTTATGCCCTCAGTCTTGTTCCATCTGTCAAGTTCTGAAATGAGCATGACTCGTTGCTTCATTTCCTTGATGTTTGTCTACTGCTCTGTGACGTTTGTCTAGGGGAAACCCCTGTACAGTTACCTTCACATTCTGTACTTTTCTTACCATGCTGCTACTGTCAAGTAAAGTGTTCTTATTTCTATCTCATCTATGACTTGCAGATTCTGGACTTTGATGAGAATTCTATTCTTCATTAATTCTTTCGCCTTGGCTATCTTCCCATTTTTTTAAACTCTGCCTACTCGTAGGCTAAATGAGGTTTGGTCTTTACTAACACACTTCTCATGGAAAAGCTTCTGTAATTTGCCTTTACTATCTGTTCAGTCTACCAAACATTAACAACTCCGTCCTCTAGATATCAAACTTGTATTTCTCTTAATTAATAAACTTTGTAGTAATACAGTTCAGACTTGATACTTCCGAGGTGCACTGCATCTCTTCCTCTTCCTTCTCTCTTCATTGTTTTGGCAACAATGAACGTCTTTTGATATTTCACGAAAAAGTATCTGCAAAAAAGAGAAAAATCAGATTTTTCACTTTGGTGACACTAACAATGCTATTTTCTGCAGTGTGAGAAGTCATAGCCATCATATAAATTGGTCCTATGCTAACACACTATTCTTCGTCTTGCCTTCATAGATGTAGTCTTTTAAATCAGCCCTTGTATAGCATGTTAGTCCTCTTCAAGGGGGGCTCCTTGGCGTGGTGAAGAGGCTCTTGGTCTGAGGAATTAGACCTGTTGGTCTCCTTCCTCAGACCGAACCTAATTACCCCCCAATCCCCCGTTCCCTATCCCATCCTCCCCATCCTTCCCTTTTTCCTTTCCTCCTCCTCCTCCCCACCCCTCCCTTTTGCCCTTCCTTTTTGCCTTTGTTTTTTTTTTTTTTTTTTTTTTTTTTTTCCACAGGCACGCTAGTTCCTAGGTAGGGGAAAGGGTACCGGGGTCCATCCCATTCCGTTGAGGTTCTTGGCGGTGGCGTAGTTTGCCGTGGAATCTGGATTGCCTGGGGATGTCCCGATCCCTCTCCGGTATCCCGGAGGGTGGCTTTGGGTGTCTCTCGGGCGACGGGTGTATCTCTGGAAGCCACCTTTCGGATTCCGGGGGTGGTGGCCGAAGGAGGTATGCTTTGTGGCGGATTTCCGGCCGCCCTCTCTTTTGTCCACCGAGGTAGCTCGGCAGATGTGAGGTTGCTATCCTGGATTACCGGTTTACTGGCATGATGGGTAGGGTATGGCACGGGTTCCATGCTGCATCTGCGCTACTTGCGGTGCTGAGGTCCTCTTGGGCACGGAGGGAGATTTCTGGCCCTTTCATTCCTCCTAGGAACTATCCCTCCCCGGTCCCCCCTTTTTTTATTCTTTTTTTTATTTTTTTCTTTTTTCTTTTTTTTTCTTAAAAACAAAAAGAAAAGTAACCTAACCATGGCAGCCCTAGTCCATGAACCTGCTACCCCCGGGCCCCTTCTTGATACCGCACCCCGTTCTGACCCCGCCTCGTCTTTGGACCACTCTTCGGACACTCCTCATGCCTCTGTACCTCTTGCCGGTGCTGTTTCCTCACCCGCTTCAGGTACTGAGGCCTCGACTGACTCCTTCGATTTATCTGACCTTCGCTCTCCTCTGACTATGCTTCCGGCCTCTCCCTCTACGGTGCGGCAATTTTCGAATCGCCGACCCGTTCCACGTTGGACCAACTCTGGTCCCACGCCTAAATGCCAATGACAATTACCTGCTGATGATACTTCTCCACCTTCTCGTTCTTCTCAGAAAAGATCGACACGTCCTTCACTACCTTTCCCACTGTTTCAGACTGCACAATGGACTAAATTCTTCACTTTACGACTGACTTCCTCTACTGCCTATCTTTCTGACCACAGTATTGGCAAGGCATTCCTACGCCATGTTGGTAAAGATATTTCTTTTCATGCTCTTAAGAGCGGTATGCGCATCATCACCATACAGAATGCTACCCAGGCTCATGAGCTTTCTCGTCTTTCCCATATCGATACTGTTCCTGTCACTATTGAAAAACATCATTCCCTCAATTCTTGTAGTGGTACCGTCATTCTGCCCCATACCATAGTTCAACAAAATTTCCAGACATGTGGCACTGACATTCTTGAACAGCTGGAACTCCAATATCTCCCAATCCTCAAGGTAGACACTTAACGTTCTTCCTGCCCACGGGCGGAGATGATACCCTAGCAATGTGGCTCGTTTAACTTTTGACAGCCGTGAACTCCCATCCTCAGTTTATGTAGCAGGACATCGGTTACAAGTTCGAAAGGTGATCCCTACACCGCAACAGTGTAGAAATTGCTGGCGATTTGGCCATCCAGCGAAATATTTCAGATCTATCGCCGAATGCCCAGTCTGTGGTGACGATGACCATTCTAATGGGTCTTGCAATCGACCTCCCTCTTGCCTTAATTGTCATGAGGCTCACCCTTCGTACTCTCGCCGTTGTCAAGTCTACTTAAACGAGCGGGAAATCCGTTGCCTCAAAGAGGCAGAAGGTCTCCCTTATGCCATGGCAGTTTCTCATCTCCGCCTTCAAGGGAGACTACCTCGTGTTTCTTATTCCCATGTTTCAAAACGTCCCCCCACTTCTGGTATCCCATCTGCACCCACCTCTGTGGTTACCTCTCCCATAGTCACTCCTGTATCTAGTTCTTTTGCTGTCCTTAGCTCAGACGTCCCTACTTCAACGCCTCGGTCTGATCTCGCTTCTTCGTGTTCTCTCTCGCAAGCCTCAGTAGCGACGAGATCTCGTATGACACCTCCTCCCAATCGTCCCTCTACTTCTCAAAAGTCAAAAAAAGGTCTGTTAACACCTCCTACCCATCTTCCACCTCCTCATTTTACCTTCCCTGTCTCTGTACCTGGTTCTCCCCCTCTCACTGGCTCTGTTACAAGTGTAGAGGTTCACCCTCCTCCTTGTACTGTACCTTCCTCCCCTGTTCCCTCCCAAGCTTCTTCCTCTTCTGCCACCTCCCAGGTTTCTGCCTCTTCAAATTCAAATTCAAAGTTTATTCTCTATAAGGATTACAATGCTGAGTTTACAGAAATTTGGTTATTGTGTGGTTTACATGTAGTAAAATAGTGATTACAGAGTGTACCACTAGAACGCTTAGCATGGCTAGGCATTTCGGGCAGACTTAGTTTTATTCTTAATTAATTCTTAGTTTTATTCTTAACCGCAGCTTCTCATTCTATACCCCAAACTTCGGGCAGGCATTCTCAGAAATGCGTGCCTTGGTGGTCTCCTGCTTGTGCTCGTGCAGTACGTTTGAAACGCGCTACATGGGGCAGGTACCGGTACAATAGAACCACAGAGAGACTTCTTGATTTTAAGCAGAAGCGTGCGATCGCTCGCCGTGTCATCCGTGACGCTAAACGCACTTGCTGGCGAGATTATGTCTCCACCATCACCTCTGCTTCCTCTATGAGTGCAGTCTGGAAAAAAGTACGAAAACTGAGTGGTAAATATTCTCCTGACCCGGCTCCTGTTCTGCGGGTTGCTGGTGTTGAAATAGCAAACCCACTAGATGTTGCCAATGAAATTGGCAATCATCTGGTCCGTATTTCTCAGGGACTCCATCTTTTGCCCCTCATTTCTTTCCTCAAAGTCTGCCAGAGAGTTAGCATCCTTGGACTTTTCTTTTTCAGAGAAGAACAGTATAATGTGCCTTTTACACTTCAAGAACTGGAGGCAACACTCTCAGCTTGCCGATCATCGGCAGCTGGGCCCGACGACATTCATATTCGTATGCTACAACATTTACATCACTCAGCCCTTGCAGTCCTATTACGCCTTTACAATCTTATTTGGTCACAAGGAGTTCTTCCACAGCTGTGGAAATTCGCCATTGTTCTCCCTTTCCGCAAACCAGGCACTACGGGACATGAAACCTCCCACTATCGTCCCATTACTCTTACCAGTGCAGTTTGCAAAGTGATGGAACGCCTAGTAAATAGACGTTTAGTGTGGTATTTAGAGACACACAACAGTCTCTCCACTCGTCAAATTGGCTTTCGTAAGGGCCGTTCTACCATAGACCCCTTACTACGCTTGGATACGTATGTTCGTAATGCCTTTGCGAATCACCACTCGGTTATTGCCATATTTTTTGACCTTGAGAAGGCATATGAGACAACTTGGAGGTATAATATTTTAGCCCAAGCCCACTCCTTAGGCCTTCGAGGCAATCTACCATCCTTCCTTAAGAACCTTTTAACTGACAGGCATTTCCATGTTCGGGTTAATAATGTGCTCTCCCCGGATTTATCCAGGCTGAAGGTGTCCCCCAGGGATGTGTTCCGAGCACAACACTTTCTCCTTGCTATTAATGATTTGGCCTCTAGTCTTCCATCAAATATTTGGTCATATCACTATGTTGATGACTTCGCTATTGCCTGTGCAGGCGCTGACTGTCACCTCATTACAGTTTCTCTCCAGCATGCAGTCGACCATGTTTCCAATTGGGCCACCGCACGTGGGTTTAAATTTTCCAGCACTAAAACCCACCAAATTACTTTCACTAGACGCTCTGTCATCTCCGATCATCCTTTGTACCTCTATGGCTCCCGTATCCCTGAACGTGATACAGTCAAGCTTCTGGGCCTCCTCTTTGATCGTAGGTTATCCTGGAAACCTCACATTACCTCTCTGAAGGCAACTTGTCACAGCCGGCTGAACCTTCTTAAAACCCTTGCTCATCTTTCATGGGGAGCTGATCGTCGAACCCTCCTTCACCTACATTCCACCCTTATTTTATCGAAACTTGATTATGGTGACCAGATCTATTCAGTGGCATCTCCTGCTACTCTCTCTAGCCTCGACCCCATTCATCACCAAGGATTACGTTTATGCCTTGGTGCTTTTTGCTCTTCCCCTGTCGAGAGCCTCTATGCAGAAGCGAACGTTCCATCCTTATCCGATCGCCGTGATGCCCATTGCCTTCGCTACTATGTATGCTCTCATGATCTCCGCAATCCTTCCATTTATAGAATGGTCATTGATATTAGTAGACATTCTTTATTTGTTCGCCGCCCCTGTTTACTCCGTCCCTTCTCTCTTTGCCTTCATTCGCTCTTGTCTTCTCTTCAGTTACCACCTTTCTATGTTCATGTAGCATCTCGCTTTTCCCTACCCCCCTGGGAAGTTCCAGCTGTTCGAGTCTGTTCTTTCTCTCTCCCTTGCTCGAAAGCCCAACTGTCTACGGTCGCTTCCGCTTCTTTTTCTTGACCACTTTCACTTTCATTCTCATGCCATTGCTGTGTACACAGATGGCTCTAAGTCTTCTGACGGCGTAGGATTCGCAGCAGTGTTTCCGGACAGCGTCGTACGAGGGCATTTACTATCTTCGGCTAGTATTTTTACTGCTGAATTGTATGCCATCCTTGCAGCACTTATCCGTATTGCATCTATGCCTGTGTCATCATTTGTGGTTGTCTCAGACTCCCTTAGTGCTTTACAGGCTATACAGAAATTTGATACACCTCCCCCCTTAGTCCTCCGTATCCAACTTTGGCTACGCCACATCTTTACCAAGCATAAAGATATTTTTTTTTTGTTGGGTCCCTGGTCATGTTGACGTACAGGGCAATGAACAGGCAGACACTGCTGCGCAGTCAGCAGTACATGACCTACAGTTTCTTTATAGAGGTATTCCATTTTACGGACTATTTTGCTGCAATATCTTCCACCTTCACACCCGTTGGCAACCCGTTGGTCTACTATGCTCGGCAACAAACTTCAATCTATTAAACCAAGTATAGGTTACGGCGTCTTGTTATCACCAGTGTCGAGGTTGGGAGACTACTCTCTCCCGTCTTCGCATTGGC